ATTTTTCATTTCATGTCAGTCATATTTGTGTCTCATTTTGGTCACTTTGTGTCCCATTTTTGTCATTTTGTGTCTCATTTTGGTCATTTCGAATCTTATTTTAGTCATTTTGTGTATCATTTCCGTAGTTTTGTATCTCATTTTGGTCTTTTTTTTGTCTCATATTACTAATTTTGCGTCCCATTTTAGTCATTGTCGGTCTCATTTTTCTCATTTTCTGTCTCATGATGGTGATTTTGCTCATTTTTCATCCCATGTCAGTCATATTTGTGTCTCATTTTGGCTATTTTACTTCTCATTTTGGTCATTTTTAATCTTTTTCTGGTTATTTTGCATTTTGTTTTAGTCATTTTGTGTCTCATTGTGGTTATTTTGAATCTCATTTTAGTGATTTTGTGTCTTATTAAGGTTATTTTGCTTCTCATTGTGGCCATTTTGTGTCTCATTGTGGTCACTTTGCATCTCATTCCAGTAATTTTTCATCTGGTTTTGCGTCCCGCTCCCTGGACTTCCTCGCCTGCTGTCTTTTCCGCTGTAGTGAGTCTGATTCTTGCAGACTGTTGTGTTGCTGTGTGTCCGCTGAAGCACGAACTCAGGGCAGGAATTATGTCCGAGATGTTGAACTAACACTGCGGGAGTCGCTGCTCGGCGCGAGTCTCGTTCTGCTGCTTCATTAATTGAACAGTTTCCACCTCAGCAGCTCGACATGTGACACAGATTGTTGTCGACACGTTCGAGTCTCTTTGTGTCGTTTTGTCGTTGTAATCCTTCATTTACGCTGAAGTGCAGGTGAAGTCAAGAATTAAAGTCCTGCGGAGCGTTCAAGACCGCAAGCGATGAAACGTGATCCGAAACCGTTTCTGGCTGCTGCAGCTGCTGTCGTCGTAGCGACAGTAGAGGAAGCACGTGGCTTGATTTTGGCAAATGGATCATGTAGTTCTTTTGGTTTGTTTTGGTTACATACATACTTTTATGCCTCATTTTGGTCATTTGGTGTCTCATATTACTTATTTTCTGTCCAATTTGTGTAATTTTGTGCCTCATTTTTGTTATTTTTGTCATTTATTCCTCAATTGGGTTTTTGTTTGGGTGATTTTTAACCTTATTTTCTTCATTTTGTGTCATTTTGTACAATATTATGGTGACTTTGGTCATTCTACAACTTATTTTATTCACATTTTTATCCATTTTGTACCATATTTTGTTCATTTTGAATGTAGTTTGGGTCATTTAGTTCTCATTGTGGTCATTTTACACCTCATTTAGTTTATTTTATCTAACATTGTGTTCCTAGTTTACTTCTTTTTGTTCATTTTTCATCTAATTTTGTTCTTCTTGTGTCTAATTTGGGTCATTTTGTGCCTTTTTTAGGTCATTTTTCATGTCATTTTGTTGTAATTTTAAAAAAATCTTGGTCATCTTGTGCTGTATTTCATCCACTTTATGTCACCTTTGTGTGTTTTTATGTTTTATTTGGTTCTTTGGTCACTTTTTGCCTAATTTTGTTGATTTTGTGTCTAATTTTGTTCGTTTTGTGCCTTTGTTATGGCTAGTTTGGGTATTTTATGTCTCGTTTTGTTCTCATTTTGGTCACTTTGTGTGTCATTTTCATTGTTTTGCATCTTGTTTTGCACATTTTGTCCCATTTAAGTCATTTTATATCTCACTTTGGTCATTTTGTGCCTGATTTTGATCTCATTTAGTTCTTTTTGGTTGTTTTTCAGCTCATTTTGTGTGAAATTTTGATCATTTTGCGCAACTTTTTGCTTGTTTTATGTCATTTTTGTCTTTTAATGTTTCATTGTGGGGTTTTCTTGTATATCTTTCATCTCATTTTCGTGATTTTGTGTCTAATTTTGACCATTTTGTGCCTCATTTTTGGTTGCTTTGATCATTTTGCATCTCATTTTATTCCAGTTTTCTTCATATTGTATCTATGTTGGATCATTTAGTTCATATTTTGTGTACTGTGGTCCTTTTGCAGCTTGTTATGTTCCATTTTCTTCTCATTTTGGTCACGTTGTGTGTCATTTTCATTGTTGTGCATGTTGTTTTGAACATTTTGTCTCATTTTAGTCACTTTATATCTCACTTTGGTCATTTTGTGCCTGATTTTGATCTCATTTAGTTCTTTTTGGTTGTTTTTCAGCTCATTTTGTGTGAAATTTGACCATTTAGTGCAACATGTTGCCTGTTTTATGTCATTTGTGTCTTTTGATGTTTCATTGTGAGTTTTTTTGTATATCTTTCATCTCATTTTGGTGATTTTGTGTCTAACTATGACCATTTTGTGCCTCGTTTGGGTTACTGTGGTAATTAAACGTCTCATTTTATTCTAATTTTGTACTTTTTATATCTAACTGGGGTCGTTTAGTTTGTATTTTGTTACTGGGGTCATTTTGCAGCTCGTTATGCTGATGTTACGTTCCATTTTATTCTCATTTTGGTCACTTTGTGTCCCATTTTCATTGTTTTGCATCTCGTTTTGACCATTATGCCTCATTTTGGTAATTTCAGATTGATGAGTTGAGTAATCGTTTCTCGAGCAAAGATAATGCAGCTAAATGATGATTAGAAACCCTGATCGTGGGATGAATAGATAAAACAGCCGCAGTCCTAATATGCGTCCGGAGATGCTCCAGGTTTTCTGTAGTTTGATGTAAATCTGAGAGCAACCAGCTGCTTCACGTCGTCGTCGTCGTCGTCGTCGTCGTCGTTGTTGTTCACACCTCGGCGGCAGCAGCAGGAAGTTTTCGGCTCATCTGTGCCGTTTGTGCTGGAAAACGTTCAGTCTGCTGCGATTGAAGTGTGAACGAGGCCTCGCACCGTCTGTCTTCATCTGTCACCTCTGGAAACAACAAAACGCTTCATCACAGCAGCCTCAACAGTACGAGCTTCAGCCGCCTCAGCTTCAGGTCAAACTTTGATGTGAGCTCAGAAATGAGTTTGTCTGCTGCTGCAAAATGTTTAACTGGTGAAACTCCAGAGATCTCGTTCCTTTGTGCTGCTGCTGCTGTTTTCTGAGAGACAGCAGAGGAAGCACATGTCACAATATAGACGTTTTTAATCAGATTGTTTGGCCTTGTGGTTGTTTTTGGTCATTTAGTTTCTCATTTTGGTCTTTTTTTTGCGCCTCATTGTGGCCATTTTTTTGCTAGTTCGGGTAATTTTCACCTCCTTTTGGTCAGGTTGTTTCTCATCATAGTTATTTATTTTCTGATCGTGGTTTTATTTGGTCGTTTTTCACCTCATTTTGCTGGAATTTTGGCTTTTTTGCCGCTGATTTGAGTCACTTTGAGTCTCATTTTGGTCGTTTTGTTTCTCATTGTCATTATTTTGGTCATTTGTTTCTCACTGTGCTCATTTTGTGGCTCATTTTAAGTCAAATTTAAGTCAATTTTTTTGTCGTTTTCTGTCTGATGGTGGTTTCTTTTTGATTTTCCATCTCATTTGGATCATTTTTTTCTCATTTTGTGTCATTTTGTTTCTCATTTTGGTCATTTTGTTTTTTATTTTGGTCATTTTGTGTCTCATTTTGTCATTTTGTTTCTTATTTTGGTAATTTTGTGCCTCATTTGACTTCAAATTTTGCTTATTCAAGTCATTTTCTGTCTAATAATGGGGATCTTGTTAACTGTCAATCTCATTCTGGATATTTAATTAGTTTCTCACCTTGTTATTATTTTATTTTGTTCATTCTGTGTTCATTTTTCATTCAATTCTTCATTTTACATCCTATTCTGCTCCTTTTGATTCGGCTTGTGGACATTTTTTGACTCTTTGGAGCTGTTTTATGTCATTTTAAAGTGAATAAAGCATCTTGTGCACACCACACGTTGCTTATCTTGCAGCATCAAATACATTTAAGTGGAAGAAGTCAGTTGGACTTGATCACAACCGTTGCTGAACTGGAGACGATCCCTGCAGCTTGGGTTTGACCGTGGATCCTTTTCCAGCTGCAGATCGATGCTCTCAGCTTGAGAATGAGCCACATGTGGAGGAAACACTTTCTGAACATGACAAAAGCTTTTGTGAATGTGTCTGCAGGAGTTTGTGGACGTCAGCCCGCCGCAGAGGAACTGGAAGGGCATCGCCATCTCGCTGCTGGTGATCGTGGTGGTCTGCTCGCTCATCACCATGTCGGTGTTCGTCCTCACACCCGGTACGACCGCAGACGGTAGTTCTGATGTTAGCTTAGACGCTAAAATGTTGGTTTTGGGGAAGGAGTGCAAGAAATAATGCGCTTTATGGCACATTTTAGCAGGAAAATATGCAGATTTTTCTAGTTAAAATGTCAGTTTTTAGTTGGTTTTTTGTTCTTTTTAGAGATAAATCTGTGACTAAAACCTGGATTTGATTGTTTTGTTGTTTCCCAGTCGAGCTCCCCGGAAACAGCAAGTCCAGGCTGACCGTGGCGGATCTCTACAAACCGGAGTTCAGCGTTCACGACCCCGAAGCCACGTGGATCAGCGGTGAGTTCAGAGACTCTTCATACTGCAGGTTCAAACACACTTAAAAAAATATCACAAGTCTTTGGACCAAGTGTTGTTGAACGTTCATGTTTTTTGGTCCCAATTCAGGTTATAAGTAAATACAAATGCATTAAAGCAACATGCACATAATAAATAGTGTTGTTTTTACCTTATGAGTCAATGTTGAAGCCGTGAGAAGAATTTTGAACTTCATTTTCATCTGGATCTCTGTCCACTGGATGCACAAACTTGGATTTCGTATAGAAAATGCAAAATAGATGAATATAGGTTTCAATTATGAACCCTCTGAATCCAAAAACCTATTACGAAGTTTAAAAGTAATGTTATCTTTTTATAAAATTGCCAAAATGTCGCCATTTTTCAAATCGAGAAACTGTAAAAGCAGAAAAAATCAACAGATTTTCACCTTTCCGACGATATCTCGACTACTCATCTGTGAAACGTGGTTCGTTCAGGAAAAATAATCAAATCGCCGCTTAAAATTGTGATTTCGTCAAAATAAATTTATTCTACATGTCTCAGGTAAAAAATAAATAAATAAAAAAATCACCAAAAATGAACATTTTAATTCTAAACAGATTCTATAAAAAAATACAGAATTTGTGCTCCTGAACTCAACAGTCATGTGACAAAATTGGAGTTTTCAGCTGAACTGCAGGCTGTGTTTCAACAGAACGTATTAAAACAGATTAAAAATGTAAATCGTAAAATATCTATAATATGTAGAGTCGTCTGAAAACTGTCAGATTTTTTGTCCTGTGACTGTTGATCCCAGCTGAGGCTTCAAATTTGCTCTGAAGAAAAACAGAATTTTTCCTTTTTTACAGAATCTGGTTACTGCAGATTATTTATTTTTGGCAAATTTTTTAATGACACATGTCGATTAAAACAATCGTAATGAAGATTTGTGTGTGTGTTTTTTTTTTCGTGGACAAAACCAAAACTCACACGTTGGAAAGTTTACAAATGACACAATTCTTTCTGTTTTTACAGTTTCTGTCTCTGATAAATAGTGTTGTTTTTTTTTTTTGGCTGTTATTGTTAAAGATGATGTGCTTTAAATTAACCTCAAGGATCAAAGAGTGAAAGAGTCCAGACGACATAATGTCGTTAATATCCTGTAACGTGGAGACAAGCTGAACAAAAGAAGACCAGATCGTGTCTCAGCAGCAGATTGGACGTCAGCGCTCAGCTGGTCTCGGTAACATTAATGAGAAAGTTTCCCTCAGACTCAATCTGAACACACAAAACAGGACACAAACCAAATTCACAGGGTTCCTCCGTCACACCTCTCCACCCGAGTTCACCGACCTTCCTCCTCCGCCTCGTCGTCTTTCTGCGAGCATCGACACCTGCTCGTTATATTTCCTCCCGGTGTCACAGAAAACGTGGCGCTGCTGGAGGTGTTGCAGGTTCGTTGTTCGTCCCACCGGCTCCGATTCAGGTCCCAGTGTGGACAGTCTTGGCTGTTTAACTGGTTCCAGCGAGATGGATCGTGTTTGCATCTGAGGAAAAGGCGGAATGTAAATCAGATCAGAGAGTTGAAGGAGAGAAAATGTCAAAATGACTCATGTTTGGCAAAATTATTTTAAAAACACTGTCCAGAATGACTCGAAACCTTTGCAAAATTAGTTCAAAAATAACTGAAAATTGGTTCAAAATTTCTCTAAATGCCTCAGAATTTGACCCAAAAATTAGTCGAAAATGACTGTTTGTCACAAATGACTCAAACCTACTTGAAACTGTCCAAAATTATTTATAAAATTGTCCTGAATGAACTAGAATTAGTTCCAAATGACTCAAAACTGTTAAAAATTATGAAAACTTGTCCAAAATGACGAACAATGTTGTAAAAATGATTTAAAAAACTGTCAATGATGATTTAAAAATTGTCCAAAATAACTCAAAATTGTGAAAAATTAGGAAAACTTTTCCAAAATGACCAACATTTTT